GTAGTCTGAGATTTGATGCAAGTCAGTTGTGGCTTCTTATCAACCTCCAGAGAAACACCAGATTCTTGAAGTATTTCTTGAAGTATACAGGTATACAAAAATGGGTCTACAAGCCCCTTTGCACTTGGCTTCATTACTTTTTTCTTTAGAGTAACTCTGCCCACTCATATATTCTGAGGTGCAGCCAGAGAAAAATATTTCAATCCCATTAACTCCTCGCTTGAGACTTTAGATATTCCCATGGTTATTTTCTACTACTTCTGATGACATGTGGTTTCTTCCATCTCCTATCACATCTGAAGACACCTTTATCTGGAAAATTATTGTTAATTTTCAAATTATAAATTGACATCATTCATTAATTCCTTTGGAATGACTTACAGATTCCTAGAATTTACCAAGATTGGTGACATCCTCTTATCAAAATTATAATTTTCTAATTTTAATTTCTCTTAGAAACTACCTTTGGAATATCTTCAAATAATATTATTTGCTTGTTCTTTGAGGTAATAAAGAACTGAATATTTGAATAAGTGCCCAGATTTAGCTATTTTCACCATTTTATCCCCCTTTAGCAGTATTCAGTTAAAACTTTGTCAATCAGGAATCATATAATCCTGATGATTTATACACAACTTCCTAGTTAAGCATCTCAGGATTGGTGCCTAAAACTGGTGTGAACTCTTAGTTGCTAATGCAAAAAATAGTGATTTTTAATCATAAATTAACAAATAATTCCAAAAAACACAAAAAATAGTAGGCTGCAGGGATTCCTTGTTTCTTGCTTTTATTTGTTATCTTGCTACATGTCTTGGGATAAATATATTTGAGACTTTTGTCTTGTACGACTTTGGCTCCGGATCAGTTTCCAGAAGACTGGTGCATCTCTTCAGGGTGTATTCACCCTCTTCCAGGACACTGAATGGAATCTAAGAGTTAATTATTCAGTTCAAGCATCTAATCCAGTTTACTGTCTATATCAACACCCTTATCAGCATGTCTTTTCCTAAGTCTGTGACATAATTAAACTGTGATAGATTCTATTGGCTGTTAATATTGACATTGTTTTCTGCCAGTTTCAGAAACACATGATGCCCTTTGAAATATGTGAAAGGTCTTTAATAGCTTGTCAAGGAAAGCTGAGCAGACCCTGAGGTCAGATTGAGATATAATAAGGACAAAATAAATAGATTAGCCTTAATTATATGAAGAGTTCAGTGTTCCTGGCACATTATTCATATCCCTTTGTGTCTGCTTATTTCAACTTTAGTCTCATGTTTATTCCATTAATCTACCACATATTTTAAAAGTACAGACTTAGAACTATGTCTGCTTTCAAGGATTGTTCCCATAAGGCAATCATTTCTTTCTTCCATATGATAAAATTTCTCTCTTTGCCTATTTGTTTCTTTGTTTGTTGCTTGTTTTGAAACAGGATCTTGCTATGTAGTTCAGGTTACCCTTGAACTCATCATGTGGCCTAGATTGGCCTCAAATTTGCAGCGATCCTTCTACCTCAGCCTCCTGAGTGCTGGGATTACAGGTGTCTGCACCATACCCAGGCTGCTTTTTTTTTTTCTACACAACTATTAATTTTGTGGTAAAGCTGACTGAAAAAAGACATTTCAGGAGAAATTACACTTACATAACAAAAATTTCATTTGAAATATTTTGCCTCAAACTGTTATGATTGATACATTGTGTCAAACTGGGGGGTCTAGAGGTTTGGCTAAGTGACTCAGCAGGAAGCCAGGGTGCTTGCTTTGCATACACCCTGAGCCTGTGGAAGAGGATGGCATGGAGATTATGTGAGCGCTACATGCCCCTTAAGTGGGGGTAGCCTGTTTACACTATAAGGGAGGGAAAGAGGCTGCTTGCTGCATTCCTCCCTTTTGCTCTTGTTGCTTTGCTGTGTTCTGCCTCCATGAATGTTTGCCCTCTGCCATGTACCACTCTGCCTCAGAGCTAGCCAAGTATGGACTGAAATCTCCATAAACTGTAAGCTAAATAAACCTTTCCTTCCTTAATTTTAGGAATCAGGTATTTTGTCTCAGCAATGAGAGAAAAGTAACCAAGACACTGTGTTAACAAAACTGTTTTGTGAACAGATAGTTGGGATGATTTCAGTGCAAGCAAAAGCAGAGGAGTGATTTAAATCTCTCTCTTGGTAGAGAGAGATCCACATTTTAATGATGAGAGTAAGTCTTCCCATTATATAGGATTTCATTCTGAATTAACTTTTTGGTTTATTTTATTGTATACAAATTGTCTAAACATGAAATGTTTATAGAGTCCCAGAAACATGTAAATATATTCTGAATAATTTTTCATGTAAATCTGTACCTTCAAAGAGAGGGCTAATCATTCTTTAATGTTAATGTGTTTTGATATGAATTCTTATAGACTTGAAATCACTCTTAAAGGGAAAGTCTGTATTCTTCTATATGAAAAAATATTGCCCACATTTCATGATATTAGAAATATCATGTCAATGTAAAGACAGGTCTGATTCAAATGACCACTCTATTTTAGCTCAGAATATTTCACAATCTTCTATATTAATAATCCACAATAAATTGTGTTTTTTGATTAAATAATGTGCTTTTTGCTAAGTTTTAAAATTTATATCTTATGTTCTTATTTTAAAAATTAAATATATTTCATTACCTTAGATTTCCATTAATAATATTTCAAATAAATATAGAAATAATGAGTATCTACTGTAGATAATCTAAATTAATTTAGGAAGAAAATCAGGTTCACACAGTTGTCCTGCTACTCACTGATAACCTGGTATATTTCTGCATTATCCTTTTTATATTTAACATAAATAAAGTTCACCCTTGTGAAAATTTCATCTTTATACATTTTTAGTAGATGAAATTTAAAATCAGTGTAGCAGCTTCCCACTGAGATTTTGATTAGAAAACCATTTAAAATTTGATTTGGAAGAAATAATATCTCTACATTGTTGATTCTTCCCTTTTTAGGACCCAATATATATTTTAAAAATAATTTTTAAAATTTCATGTGTTAAAAGTTATAATCATATTTTAATAAAATCTTAAACTTTTTTTAGTTTAAACGTATCTTTTAGTTTATTGCTTTTAGAATGTTTCTTCCCCCAATCCCAATATCCTGCACACAATTCCCAGACTAATACATTGATTTGTTTTGTTCTTAAATTTATTATTATTTTTATCTGAACATCTAACTCTTCTTTCTGATTCTATTTTTCTTGTGTTTTAGTCAACTGAGTGGGAAATCATATGATATAAACAATAATTTTATCTTAGTCTTTACAAAGTTCAGAAATATTGTTTTAATTTATTGATTTTTGTGGTACTAAGAAACCATATTAAAAATAAAGGCATTAGTAAACATCCTTATTTTATTATAAACTTCTACATGTTAGAAATATTGACAAAATTAGGAAGTAGTATTTTAGATTTTCTAATATTTTCTGCATATATGTTTACCCTGTTAAAAATTATTCTACTTATAATGTACTAAGTTAATTTTTTATTGAGTAATTAGTAGGCCTTGAATTATTACTTAAAAATTTGACATATTGGAAAGATGAACATATGTTGTTTCTTGCTTATTCACTTAATAAAGAGAATGCATATACACATATAAAGCATATATATAAATAAAGTATATGTGTGTATGTGTGTGTGTGTGTATGTGCTTTAATGCTGAATCTTAAATTCTTGGGTAAGACCATTGGTCACAATGTATAATGTTTCTAATACACTCTTGGATTTAGTTTATGAGTTAATTAAAACACCTTAGGTTCCCATTCTCTACAAATGGAATCAAACAAAAGGGGAAATGTACTGGCTCACAGAAGTCTGAATAGCACATACTAACAACAGAGTGAGCGAAAAAGCTCACTAATATGACTAAGAAATCAGTTAATCCTTGTTTTCGATGCCATTCTCAGGATGTGGTATGCCATATTCAATGTGGTTGTAAATAACATGTTGAACAGTCAAATTCAGTTTCATAGATAATCTAGAATTCATTTAATCTTTGCCTTTGAGCTGTATATTTAGATTATCTTAAATAATTTACTTACGTATGACATTTAGAAAAATAAATCTTTCCTGGTTTTCAGGAAAAATGTCAGGTTTTTCAGGAAAAATGTCAGGTTTTCAGGAAGAATGTCATACTTACGTATGACATTTAGAAAAATAAATCTTTCCTGGTTTTCTCTACAATGTGTATTTCTTTCTTTAAGTTAGTCTCAGAAAGTTGTATGTACAGAATCAAAAGATAGGATCAATTTAAGATTTTAATCTAGAACCTGTTTCATTCCCAATCAACACCTAGATCTGAACATTTCCACTGTGTTGTTTGTTCTCTCTGTACCATCACCACTACTAAATTTTCTTGTTAAAAAGAACAAAAAACCTGTAGTTATAAGAATTTGTGGATAAGTACATTAACAAAATATTTTCCACAAGGGCCTGGCATGTGCAAGATCCTGAGTTCGATTCTTGGTACCAAAAAAATTTTTTTTCCATAACTATAACATCATAAACATTCTGCTTAATCACCCTATAGTAATTATAGAGCCCTCAGAAATTTTATGTTTCTGTGACTTGGGGATAAATCTTTGTGTTGAAGAAGGGATAGTGAACTAATTTGGGGGAAGAGGCAAACAATGGAACAGTACATAAATGCAGACAGTGTCAGAGAAAAAATAAAAGAAATTTAATGCATACTTCTAAGGATTATGATTCCTTCATGGTATTTGATAAATGTAAGTAGGGGATTTCATGTATGTTGAAATTATTTTTGATTGCATGGATTATACTTTATGGTTCACAGCATTTCTATGAGACTGAACCACATCACCTTTTTTAAAATAAATGCTTTCATACCACAGTTTGATTATGCCCAGGATGGAAATTTCTAATTCCAAGAAAACAAGTCAGTTTTTGCCAGTGTTTTAATATTTACTTTTCACTCTTCAGTTTTTTCTCATTTCTCAGAGCTAACGCTGCGATTCTTCAAATTTCCCTTTGCATAAGTCAATGAAGCATCTGTTGATCACCAGCCTCGTCTGAGCTGATAGCCTCTTTCAAGGATGAGGGCATATGAAGAATGTGCTTAAAGATCACTTGGTAGAGAGAGATCCACATTTTTATGAAGTTCTTCACAGAACTCCAATTTATTCAGATGTTGATGACAAACTACCTCTTCTTGGTTCCATAGTGGGTCATGATTTGCTTTACACAAACACATGCAATGACAAGTTTGTGGTTATTGAAATTCTGGCTCATCAGATTTATGGAAAAGGCTACATTTCTGGGGTGAGGGAGAGGCTGCCTTCCACTAAATGTTGGTAAGAAAGTGTATTCTCCTTGGCTGTTGAGAACCCTTACCAGAGCCCAAGGTCAGTGAGTTTGAGGATGAAGTCAGTAATGTGAACAACAGAGCAAAAGGAAAGCAAAAAACATGTGTCCCTGATGGTATCATTAAGGTACTGAATCAATAATTGATGACATCTTCCTTTCTCTTGACTTCCTGTTATAGCGCTAATGCTTCCTAAAAGCATTTTAAACTGGAGTTTCTGTTAGTTACCGTTGAGGGCATCCAGTTATTAATTAAATAAAACTTTGTTATATTGTTTTGCAGTACTTTCCCCTGGGAACTTATTGCTATATAGGAATATATTTGTGGAGTACACTGTTGTTTATACTGTAGAGGATAATATTAGTTTTCTATGCAAAGATAACTTTGTTTTAGTAACTGATATTGTTTTTGCAAACCTACTGACATCTTCCTTTCACTTTGCTGTTTACATGTTATGGCTCAAAAGTAAAATATAATCTAAATATTTATGCAGGCAGAGTTGAAAGATTACCCCTCTCCCATGTTAACGTACTTGGAATATAATATGGATTTCTGATAGATTGAAGTTTTAAAATATTATGCAGTGCATTAATTTTTAATAGTTGATTAATTGGGCAGAAAATTTTCTCAGTGTTTGTATAACTGCTATTTTTGGATTTACAAGATCTAATGGGTTAAGTGGACATGTTTATATTTTTAATTTCTGTTGCTAGCATTGTTATCAGTGATTAAAAATTTCACAAACCTCAAATGTCCCATATTATTAATATTTACTATAAAATATTAATGTGATGAAAATGTCAACTTGATCAGTCACTAGTGAGGAATGACAAAATAAAGAATGTTTTCTATTTTGCAAAATAAAGCTCAAAATTACAAAATGCACTGGTCTGAAAAAGATTAATTGTTTTTATACAGCAGACACAACATGCAGAGAGCCAAGTCAACCTTCAAATGTGTAAAAGCTAATGTTACTTTGTTTTGCTTCACCTTGGGTTTTCACCCAATAACTTACTCACCTTGACGCTCCTCCAGTAGTCATTTACATTCTGAGAAGCAAACGTGCCAGAGGAAAGCCAGAACTGTTAGAGCAAGGATGTTTAGACAGCAGGAACTTAGAAAATTTACTGATTATGAATTTGGATTTTAATTGAACAGTCTCTAGTGTCACTCCTTGCTGTACTACAGTGTGCTGACACAACTGAGGGACAGACTGATGGTACACACTTAAAGGGTCTTCGGGAAGGAAAATCAAGATGACCCTGAACAAATTGATGTGACAACAATCTATTTGTTTTTAAGGTGCAATTCACAAAGATGAGGTTTCTAGTTTGGGTAATGGGCTACATTTTTCTAGTGTTCTCAGAACTGTATAAATAATTCGATGCGTAAATAAAAAGTCCACTGTTTGTAAGCTTTCACCATCATCATGAGCTTTACTACTTCACGTATTTTGAACATGGGGATGGGGCTTTTGTTTCAAGTGGAAGAGTCACCAGCGCTTTCTCTCAGCTTCATGGCTGTGCGTGAGCAGAACGTAGTAAGTGGTCCATATGTTTTAATATATTAATTAATACATGCAAAAATGTTGTATATGATGACCTCAACCCTTTTGCTACAATACCTACTTATAACAGTAATATCTTGCTCTGGATATTTTCTTATGTAACCAAAACATATATGTTCAAGAAAGTAAAACCCCACAACAGGCTGTGAACATAACAACTCAGGATTTTGGTATATAAGAGGCTTGTTTGATGTACACAAATACCTTCTTCTCCTGGCAGTATGATTTTATTCAATCATAAACATGTATAGGATTTTATCTAAAAAAAAACCCTTTAAATTGACTTTAATTTAATTTAAAATGACTTACATACTAAATTATTAGTCGACATTTCTGCACACCTCACAGTCTCAGAATGTTGCTACTGATCTGCACTTTTCCATAATATGTACCATAGTGCAGCCCAGGTTTTCCTTAAAAGTGCGCTGTAGGCTCAAGAACTGTATTTAAATTAGCAGAGCTCATGATTTTATTTTAGTGCCTGACAATGACTTGGTTTAAATAATCTTTACCTAAAGAGTTGATGGTTTTAAAATTGCAATCCAAATGTTTTGACCTTGCTATCATTGCAAAAGTGTATAAAATGTGTGGAAAATTTACTCTTCAATTTTCTGATTCATTTACACATCAAACTATCTTATTAAAGCTGCTTCATATTCAAGAAACTTCTTAGCAAATTATTTCCAGCTTATTTCAGAGTCCTGGGAAGTTGACACTTACTGACCCAACCTAAATCCCTGTAGATTCTTCTCAATGTATAATTCAGAGCTCACAGATGTTGTGTTACTACAATTTATGGAGAAGTAGGTCTCCAAATCCTCCCTAATGTTTATTGTGAGTTACTCAAACCAAATTTCCTTCAACCCTTTACTTCCAATATGTCATTTGCTATACATATTCAACAATTTTTTATTTTCTTGTTTTTGGAGGTATATGTCTTAATGTTAATTTGAATCTTACTCATGTGATTTCTTTAATATTCTGGATACTCTATATTTCTTAATATTCCTAATTAGTGAGATTTCCTTTTTTTCTTTACAAAAGAGTATAGCTCTAGCCTTTTGATCATCTTTTCTTTCTGAAAAGGGGAAATAATCTATGATTTTTGTTCGTATAACTAAAACCACAATTTCAGTGAAACCAACAGGAATGGTAGCTCTACACACAAAGGAATAAGATTTAACTGGTGCCAAGAGGGAAAAATTAAAGGTCACTTGCTAACATGTTAAATATAAATTGGAAATCATAATGAAAATAGATGAAAGAAAATAAAAGACATATTCTGGGTCATTGAACTAAGGTGACCTGGAAAAAATGGGAATATATGTGTACAGATAATATCTATATGGAGACTAGAAAGCATAATTTTATGAACTGGAAATCTATAGGATTTTTATGTAAATTTCTAAGAAAAATGAGGAGAGGGATGAAATGAGACAAACACAATTTAACAGGGCTTTATAGGAGACTGCCCCGAATTGATTTTAAACAGACCATATAAACTCTAGACATGTACTGGCCAGCTAAGAGTGATGCAAGCTAGAAACAATAAAACGTGCCTCCTGAAAAGGGCTTGAAAATGTGCTGATTTTTTTAAGAAAGCAAGACAGTGAAATGTTGAGTAGGACAGAAATTCAGATGCATTTTGAAATTGTTAGGGTGAGCTTGTTTTTAACCTATAGGCTACAGAGCACACTCCAGGATCTATTGTATGAAGAATTTGCAAGAAGAACCTTTCATTTTGCAGTGGACCTGGAGTAGAGAGCTCTGTATCTCTTCCATATATCCACTTCGCAGGTCAGCCCTTGGTCCTACTTTATTGATTTGGTCCTACATATTTGTGTAAAAAAAAAAATACATGCATGTAAATGAAAATTTCATGGGCTTGACAAATGTATATTTTTAAAAATGCTCTCATTAAAAAGAAAATATTTCTATCATTGTAGAATGCCCTTTCATACTCACTTCCTGCTAAGCCCATCTGCTCCCTCCACTAGAAATTATTATTATTTTTACATCTCATGATACCTTCTATTTTTTTGAACTGTATATAAATGAAATTACACAGTATGTAGTTATTGTACCTTGCTTCTTTTTTGTGCCATAAGGTTGTAAGGTTCACTAAATTCTTTTTATTGTTGAGTTGTATTACCTGATACAATTATACTAAGCTAAATTGTCTCTTTTAATGAACAATGGAATTATTTCAACAGTTTGTTATAACTGTTGCAAATATTCATAGATTCACCCTCTTTGAGGATTCTCTTTTGTAAGAGTAAAAATAATATTTTTAGTAGGTTGAATATTGGCCATATAAAGTATCCAGAAATTCTACTTCTGGAATTTGAGAAAACTATTTTATTTAGAAAAAGAGTCTACATAGATGTAATGAAATTAATATTTTTGGAATTAAGAGATCCCCTTTCATGATCCAGATAGGCTCTAAATACAACCACTTATACTCTATAAAGGAAAGGCAGAGAATTCTGTGAGACCCATCAAGGAGAAAGAGACTTGGAGATGACACCTGGAGGTAGAGCTTGGAGTGATGTGACCATGGCCAAGGACCAGGAAGAGCTGCTAGCCACAGAGGGACAAGGACAAACTCTCCCCTAGGCCCTTGGGAAAGAGTATCCATGCAGGACTTCCAGAACTGTGTGCAAACACACTGTTGTAGTTTTTAAGGTACCAAGTTTGTAGACATTTACTATAACGTCCTAAGGAAATGAGACATCTGTTTTGGTCTCTCTTGATTTGCTGGCTTTTGGCTTAAAATTGAGGCTGTTTTGGAAAATAATTTTATTTGCAAAAGAAGGCATAGCTTTTCAGGCCAATTATAAGCTTTAATTTCCAATTTAAAATTGTTTATATTGACATTAAACATATTTAGTCAAAATCAAGTTGCCATATCTTTGATAAAGAGGGAAACTAGTGCACCATTTTTTTCTTATACTACAGATAGAATTTCAATCTCAGGAACTAGAAGGAAAATTTGGAAATTCAGTTGGCAGAGACTTATACTAAGTAACCTGACATGCGTGGTCTCCTATAACCCATATTTTACTTAAGTAATCACCAGCCTCTAAACTCTCACCAAGATGTTTTTACTACATCTACTGAGAGATTCTGGAAGGTACACAATCAACTTTAGTTTTATCAAATTAATTAAGAAACCCATTATTAAGCCCATAGCTTCTAAAGAAGCATGCCTGTGTAAGCAATTGAAAAAGCTGAGGTTCGTATCAGGGTCATCCAGTGTCTCGTTTCAAACTGGTTCCACTGGGTTGTAAAATAAATTTGAATTGTCTGTGGTTGCAGATAGAAATACTCTCAAGTAATGTTTACAAATGAAAAATATAACAAATGTTAACATTAACAAAATATTTTTAAATCCACACTGGTATTCCTATTTTGATTCAGATTCAAAAGAGAAAAGGTATAATTCTTCTCTAATTTAAAAAACATGTACACACATCCAAACGAAACATTCACATTGCTTTCAGGAATCTTCGTGTGTACCTACTTTCATAGGGAACCTCCTTGAAACTACTTATCACCGTGCAATGCCTTCCTTTCTTGAAAGCAGACCTGCTATCTCATCCTTCCAACGTCACTTTCAGGCAAGTGTTATTAATGACCAAATTGCTTCGGTTGTCCTTTAGAAAGTTCTCTTTCACTGTTCTTCCACTGCATTTGACACAGTTGACTTTTTCCTTTTGCCTTTTTTTTTGTTTTTTGTTTTTTGTGTTTTTTTTTTTCCAGTACTGGGAACCAAACTCATGACCTTGTGTTTGACAGGCATGCGCTGTGCCGCTGAGCTAAATCCGCAGCCCACAGTTAACTTTTTCCAACTTGAAAGATTCCTTCTTTGCCTTCCACAAAATTGCTGAAGTTAGAATGTTAGTAATAAACTAACAATAACTAATAAATAACTAATAAATTGCTGAAGTTAGTAATAAACTAGTTTATTACTTGCCCATAATATGAACTCAGTAAATGTTTGTGTAGAAGACTTGATAAATTAGTTTACTAACTGTATTAACTCATAGCTTTCATATAATATGACATATTTCAAATGCAACCATAAAATAAAATCTCTACATATATTAATGCACAGGAGTCATTTTGTGAT